ACTGTACCTAAAACAATTTTCGCCAATTTAATGTAAATTGTACAAACTAAAACACCATGAGGGCCCTTCCCACGTGACGATTCTGGCAAACTCTTCTGATTATGTCCTATGTACTACCAGGGGTAGATGGATAATTTTTTTTATTTATTTTTTATATTTGATAATTATATTAAATTTGATTAATTTAAAATATAATAGAGCTGTTTCAAACCTCATTAGGGAGAAACCCTCCTAACGCATGTTTTTTTATTCACAAAACTCAAATTTGAGGTTTTATTTAAAAGAAATCGAGTCCTTTTTATCCGGACTAAGAGTTCAATAAACACTTTTTTCATCGTATTATTAAGTGTTTATAAAAGTATTAAGTTATTATAATTAAAAATAATTTTAATTAATATTTTGCATTTTTAATTTATTTTAATTTTTTGATATTTGATATAGAAATCTTTAATTCAAATTTAACTTTCATAATAACAATTGTAGAATTTTTTTTATATAAAATTTTTCTCAAGTATTTTTATTTGATAAAATAATTTATTTTTTTTTATAAAATATGTTAAATTTTAATTTAAAATTAATGTTTGAAAAATTTTAAACTCAAACTAAATTTACTAAAAATAAATAAAAAAATATAATTATATAATCATATTAACGTATAAAATTTATTTTAAAACAATAACATAATTTTTTTGATAATAAAACGTTAGAAAAATCATAATCATCACACTTCAAAACAATCTCAAACTAAAATGTAGAAGAGAAGCCACCAACATTACATTATGCAACACAAAATAACAATGATTAAGAATAAAAATTTATTTAATACAAATTTTATATATTAAATTTATATAAAATTTCAACCAACCATTTTTTTATTTTTAATTATTTATATTTATTCAATGGTTGAGATTTTAGATAATTACTTCAATTCCTTGCCCTCATGGGACTCTCTTCGTTAAGGAGATCACCAAGCAGAACAGTGTTATGGCATCTGGGGCACTTAGGATCTACATTCGATGATATCACGTACATCAAGCATCGATGGCAGCCCACCAGCACCATCGAAGTCGCTTCACGGCTGTCTGGGTATTGCATTCTCACCTCTTCTTGCTCCGACGAAACGCACGAGCTCTCCGGTGATATCACTTCAGACGAAATCGACGTGTCTGGGGATTCGACTATTGGGTTTGCCCTCGGAGGAGATGACTCCACGTTCAGTTCAAGCCTCGGATTGCCGGCTCTTCGACTCATGATTTTCTCGATACGGAATCAACTTTCTGCACAATCACATGCAAAAACAGATTTATCATTATTATTATTATTATTATCATTATTATTTAAAAAAAAAAAAAAAAAAACTTAACTTGGTAAAAACAATCTTCAAGACCACAACTCTAGAAATAAAAATCAGGGTTTTTACTAATAAAGCACTAATAACCTCTTAGCCAATTAAAAAAAGGTTTAATATGGAAACTGAATGGAAAAGTACGAACACTGAACTTAATTAATTACCTGCCGGTAAGGAAAACTAAAATTTTTCTGAGGAAATGAAAGTTTCTGGGAAGTTGCGAGGAAGATGAAGAAGAAGGATTGAAAGGAGAAGCGGTTGTGTGGATATATAGACCTAAAGAAGGGAACTGTGCAGTACAATTGTACGAGGGAGTGGTTGTGGTGTTGATTTTGGTCATATTTTGGGTCATTTTTTATAAATAATGATGCATGCACACTTCCACACTAAAGAAAGGAACTCTGCCGTACAATTGTACGAGGGAGTGGTTGTGGCGTTGATTTTGGCCACGTTTTGGGTCATTTTTTATGGATAATGATGTATGCACACTCCCGCACCACACATTTTGTAACATATTTCAATTTTTGTTATTTTATCGTTAATTATATTTAACTCCGTTGCTATCTCTTTAATCATCTCCCAACTCACCCAACCCTTTCCATCTTCACAAGATCCATCTTCCTCCTCACCTTTGTCCTTATCCCAATCATTTACAAGACGATTGACAGCCTTTCCCAAGTTCCCACCGTCTTCCTTTTATCTTTTTTTTTTTTTTTCCTAGAGAACTCGACCTAGGTTCTTGGAGAACCCAAAAGAAAAAAAAAATAAGGAAGAAGGTGGGAACATGGTGAGAGTGAAATAAAGACTAATAGAGTGTGAAAGTTAACAAAAAAAAAAAGTGTGTGTAATGGGAGTGTAGTACGAATTTGTGTGTGTCAATCATGATCCATTATTTATACATAGAATAAGAACAAAAAGAATAAAAATATGAAACCAATGATATGATTTATATTATATTATTAAATTAGTTAATGTATATAATATTATAGATATAAAAAAATAAAATTAATTATTAAATACTATAAAATTTACCTTGTAATATTTTAAATGATGTGATTTAAGCTACATCATTAGTTTTATATTTTAGTTTTAAATTGTAATTTGTTTATCATTATTCTTATATATATATATATATATATTGTGAGTTTGAGAGAAAATAAGATAAGATTTTCTTTAATTGTTAATTATAGTAGAGAATGGTAACTGCATGAAGTTGACTCAACTAATTAAACGAAAAAGTTGGGGAGGAGACTCAGCAGAGTGCGACTTGGTGCCTTTTATATTTATTTACCATTTGGACTTTGGATGGTGGGATTCCAAGGTGCCTATTTGTAAAGTAGGGTTGATTCAACTCCTTTACGCTCAACAATTAAAGACATGTTTTACCATTTTACTTACGTAATATTAATTATTAGACAAAATAAATTTTATTAATTTATTAATTTTAATTTTATAATTTAATATAATTTGAATCACGAAACTACAAATTGCATAACAATTGCTACTCTCTTCATTCCTTTTTAATTGCAATACCAATTACAAAGGGTGGTTTGAATTTGTTGCCAATTTCTGTCTTCAACACAGTATAAATGGTGAAGAAGACCTGTCGATTTAATGATTCAGTAATTTAATGTAAGTTTTTTTCACTATAACAAGGGTTCAATCCTCTTTCTCACCCTCCTCCCCTTAACCACTTGCCCTAATTCGAAAAAAAAAAAAAAAAAAACACAGTATTATTGGTTTTTGCTTCAAATTTACCCTTGAACTTAATGTATGATTTTGAATTTCAAAGACGTGGTTGGTGATAGTGGGTGAACGTGGGTTCTAGTTACAATACTCATTATTTTATTAAGATTATCTAATTTTATTTTATTTAATTAATAAAAATAATTAATAATTATTATTTAATAAATTAAAATTAATTATTAAATTAATATTTTTAAACAATATAATTAATAAAATATCAATTAAATTAAATAATTTTTAAAGTGACACTAACAAAGTTACAGGCAGCCATACCTACCCCTGTTACCGTGTTGTTGTCCTTTGGTAGCTGGGATGTCACCGTTGGACGTAAAATTCATAATGTGGAATTAATGAGATACAGAGTAACTGCGAATTCCACCTTCAACAACTCTTTTTTTTTTTGTCGGCACATCTTCAACAACCTCTATTAAATTTAATTAATTCAAGATAAATGCTACGTGAAAAAGACATGAAAGAAAGAAAGAAAGAAAGAAAGAAAGCAAGCTTGGGTGCATGCATGATTCATCACTCCACTTCATTACTTATGGTTACATCTGTTGTTGGAAATATATTCAGTTTGAAATAATGTATCGATGATTAAAAAGAAGGCATGGAACTTCGAACTTGATTTCATATAGAGAAGCAAGGGTTTCACAGCTTCAACATACTATGTGCGGAGTGCAGCTTTTAGATGTCCTAGTCTAGTCCTTCCAGAATCTGCTGTTGTTCAAGCTCAATAACCTGTTCAGCTAAGTGGTTTATGGTGGCATTTGTTGTTTTGTTATTGGTCTTTGCAGTCTTGCACTGCAACAATTGCTGCTGAAGACTTTGTACGAGGTCATTCAGTCTTCGAATGTTCTTCTCTTGTAATAAGATTATCTGCAGTAGTGTTTGTGTTTAGAAATATAAAAAGTCTGACCAATCGGATGATGAGACAGAGAGCAATGAGAACAAATTATCCTACATCCGCACCATAAATAATTCATATAAGCATCACTTTTCCAGTTTTCCAATAATGCAAAGTAAATTTGTTGGAAACAGGTTAGCATGTCATACTAATCAACACGATGTAATGGTGTCCAATTACACCATTTCAACAAGGACATAGGATCCCTTAATTGGAAACTCAAAAGGTTAAAACCCCATTTTGATCCCTCTACTTTAACAAAAAAAAACCCCTATTTTAGTCCCTCTACTTAAAAAAACCCCTTTTTAGTCTCTAACGCTTTTTATCTGGCCCCTTTTAGTCTCTCTGTTACTTTTTTTGCACATGTAGCACATTAGATAATAAAAATTCGAAAGTAGAAAGGCTAAAAAGGATTTTTCTTAAAGTGGAGGGACCACAAAGGGATTTTTTTTAGTCTCTCTATTTTGAAATTTCCATCATCTAACGTACCATATGTGTGCAAAAAACAACAGAGAGACTAAAAAGAGGCCAGATAATAAACTTTAGAGACTAAAAAGGGGCTTTTTGTTAAAGTAGAGGGACCAAAATAGGGTTTTAACCTAAACAGAACCATCTGACTATTTAAGCAAGTTCAGCAGATTGGATTTGCTAATCCTTATCTAGTGGCTTGGTCAAGTCAGGTTATTCTGGTATGACATGCTAATCTGCCTCTACCACTGAACATGACAACCATAACTTAGTAGGCCAAAAATGATTACATTATGTTGATGTATGTCTTGGGGCAAAATGACAAGAGATGTCACCACAATCACGACCATTATATCACATAGCTCTTCAACAGAAGATTGCTTAGCAAGTGTGAACCAACAGAAATTGATTTAAAACAAAGCCAACGTTAACAGCCAATTCTGGATGATAATTAAAAGGGAATAAAAGTTATGAATCCGCCTAATGACCACTACCCTCGTTTTGGCTCTGCATTAGTTAAGTCAAAGCACAATGGCACATTTAAGCCAGCAAAGCAGCAAATTACAAACTATAACAAGTTTAACTTGAAGCCTAGAGGGTATTTTGTGGAAAAATTTTCTAGCAAAATACAATCTCCAATCAGATGTGGGGTTCTAGGGTAACAAATTTAGTTCTTAAGGCTTATCCATGTTAACTATTGGATCTGAATTTGGTGATGGTAGGTAGTTGGAGATTGATCATCCAAGAAAGGTCATCAAATGTGAAGTCAAAATCACATTGAATGAACATCTTTTTATTTTGGTGAACGTTTTTCATGTTGGGAAGAACAAGGAAGTCTTGTAACCAATACAGTAAATATGTTGTGGGCTAAAATGACACATTAACAAAATGAATGAAAAAACCAAACTCTTCCTCTAGATCTTCATATTCTATTTCTATGACCTGAAAATGGTATACCTCCTGGAAATTATTACCATGAGATTGATTTAAGCATTAAGATTATGACATATCCAGTAAAAATTTCAAAAAAGGCATAAAAGCACTAACCTTTATGGAATCAAAAGTCATATCATGTATATGCATATCACACCCTCAATGTGCCAAAAAAGTAAAACTTGAACATTTCAACCCACAAGAGTGGATATGATTATCAGCTCCCCCCACCACAAAAAAAAAAAAAAAAAAACCAACAAGAGGGGCATGATTGATGTTTTAGAAAGACCTAATTTCAGAAGGCATTAACAACCATACAAATGATATATCATATGTAGACAAGACATCTATATTCAAATGCAAGTTACGCATCAAAATAAAAACAAAAATGCAATAAGAAGTATAACTAAAACTTTAATTTGAACCTAAAAAGAAGATTTATTACCTTTTCTTTAACAGCTTCTTCCCTCTTTGACATCTGCTGCTGTCTCTGGGTGATGCTAGGTGCTGGGTCAATATCAACAAGCTGTTGTCTCCACTCAAACTGAGAGGTAATTACCAGTATAAGCAATAGAAATGCAAGTAGCATGGGTCTTGACATAATTATACACTTCTCTTACGAAACCTGTAAAAGAATGAACAAAAAATCAGTATAATTAAGCAAGTAAATGAAATGCAGTCAACTTTATTTTAAATGTTGCCTTAATTTGCTAAGATACCATTAGAGCACACAAGTCAAAATCTTTAAAATTTTTCCTCACCAAAATCAAAACCCTTCTTGGTTTTAGCCTTATAAACATACGAGATTCTAAATTTATCCTCTCTCTTCCTCATCATTTTCTTCAGTAACTAAGCGAAAAGCAAAATTAGGGGCAGAAAACGCAGAAGAATGAGTGATGGGGGGCAAAATTTTCACATAGAGAACTTAACAATCAATGATTCCAGGGCCTGCTAGCTTAGGAACTCTGAAAATGCAACTCACAAAGCAATTTCACCCAAAACCCTAAAAACGCAGTATTTGAGCTCTACAACTTCCAAAAATGAGAATTTAAAAAGAAAGACAACGACTATGACATGAACCTACAGAATAAGGTTGATGGCAGAACATGAAATTCATCATCAATCAATCAAGACACGGAGGCTCCCCGGAGACCGAAGCTGCTCATCGACTAATTGCTGCGATGAAGCTGAGATTTTTCAGAAGCCTTCGAAAAAGACGGTAATTTCACCTCCCTTCTTTCTTCCTCTTTTTTTTTTTTTTTTTTGGCTTTTGGGTTTACTGGGCTACCAAGCCTGACCCGAAGAAATTTTGGGCTACTTCAAAAGCCTTGTTTGTTTGATTTTATCTGGAGTGGGCCAATGCCCACAAGTTCAGTAGCCTAGTAGGAGTGTGTGTGTAGGATTGGTTTTTGAGTCCTTTGACTCTAATCCTAATTTGATGAAAGCCCACAAACCCACTTAGATTTGCTTTTATCCGAGGAAGGTTAGACCTTTTCTCTCCACGAATAAAAAATCGAAATATGACATGCAAAAAAACAAATATTAAGGATTGTTGGGCCGGACAGCTTAAGAATTATGCACGTGGATTCAATACAAAATTTACATTCAATTTAAAATTAATAAATAATAAATAGAGTAATTTTTCTTATATTTAATCCATAAGTTTTTTATTTTTATATTCGATGTGAGATTTTCTCACTCGACACGCCCCTGACATACAAGTCCGCTATGAATGTTAGGTCCTGTCACGTGAGTTAACATTCTCCTTTAAATACAGGCTTGATATTTTTAACTTCGAGTTTTATCAGGTGCATTAACAACGAGTTTCCTAAAACAAAATTTGAGTTTTGATATCATGTGAGAATTGTACATGTAGTCTTAACACAAAATTTACATCCAACTTAAAATCAATTAACAATAAGTAGAGTGATCTTCTTTGTATTTAACTCACAAACTTCTTACTTTTATACTCGATTTAGAATTTTTTCACTTAGTAGACATGGGATGAAAGTATTAGTCAAAAATAAAATATAAGACTCGAACACCATACTTACAAATTTAACATAAGAAGCTCTTAAAAAAAAAAGTAATTATTAGATTACAGAAACTTCCACTTCACAGAATTTTATTTTACAATAATTTTATCTTCACAGAATTTTATTTTACAATAATTTTATAATATAAAATATATTATAATTATATTATACATTCACTCGTGATTCAATTCTTCCGAGGAATTTGTTCCACTTCTCACATATGATGCTATCTAAGCTTATGTTATACCACATAGGAGAAACAAATATTAGTTCTTTCGAATTTCAGTGGTACCATATAGATGAACAACTCATTGAGGATTGCCAAATATTGTAAACCCAGCATTGGTGATGGTGAAGCCTCCATCGATGACCAAATTGAGCCCGCTCACATATTTGGACTCATCACTCCCCAAGTAGAGCACCGCCGCAGCCACATCATCTGGCTCACAGTTCGCCCCTTTGAGATTTGCATAGATGTCAAAAACTCCCTTCTCGTCCATGGCGTAAAAATTTTTTGACAGTGGAGTCGGAACTACGTACGGGGAAACGCAATTCACCCGGATCCCGTACTGACCCAACTCCACCGCTCCGTTTCTTGTCAGCCCCACCACGCCGTGCTTCGAGCTCACATAGGAGTGAGACGCAACTCCGCCCATAATCGAAGATATACTTGCGGTATTGATTATGCTGCCACGGCGGACCGGTTTCATGACCCGGGCGGCGTGTTTGGTACCCAAAAATGGGCCGACAAGATTCACTTTCAAAACCTTCTCGAATACTGCCGTTTCATTTTCTATGATGTCGGGTTTGGAAGGATCAATGATTCCTGCGTTATTGAACATGATATCGAGCTTTCCAAACTCGGAGACGGCGGCGTCCACGGCATCTTTAACGTCTGCTTCCTTGGTCACGTCGCAGTAAACGAAGGAAGAGGTAGGACCCAGATCGTTGCAGACAGATTTGGCTAAATCGGTCTGGATATCGGCGATCAGCACTTTGGCTCCATGTTTGCAGAAGAGTCTCGCAGTACACTCACCGAGGCCGCTAGCTCCGCCGGTAATGAGCGCAACCTTCCCTTCTAGCCTGCAGATTTTAATTGAATTTGGTATTGGGGGTCAAATTTTCCAGTAGCTTAACATTCTTCCTTAAAAATTTATCAGATTTTCAGTACAGAGTACCTTCTTACCGCTGCTGAGACCAACGAGGCAGCCATTGGAGATCTGGAATTCTTCCGGAAAAGTAATTGGCACTTAGTAGTATCTTAGAGATGAGATGGGGAAGATTTCTTGATATTAGAATTGGACTGGAAGTGGAAGGACCACAGTCTCCTACTACAAGATATAGGTTAAATCCCATTTTGGTCCGTTTACTCTGATAAATTTTTTTTTTTTAGTTTTTTTATTTAAAAAATCTTTTTTTTTCTCTAAAATTTAAAATTTAATTTTTTATATATATACAATATATTAAATGATAAAAATTTTAAAGTAAAAAAATTAAAAATAATTAAAAATAACTCATTTTAATTTTTTTAATCTCTTTATTAAATTTTTTTTTATTTTTTTACTTTTAAAAAAATTTATTTTTGGTTTTTTACTTTAAAATTTCTGTTATTTAACCTTAAAATTAAGAAAAAAAAA